TGGGTCCAGATCGATTCGAAGCGTCGGCTTTTCGTTTGATAATTTTTATATGCGCAGTGAACGGATTGAAGATTTTGACCATGGAAACTGTTCTTATGCTGCATTTCACTATAACGAGCAGCGCATGAATAAAACGTATTCATTTTTTTTATTTCCCGCAAGTTCTATTAATGGCGATAGCATTCGTTCATTGCTGCAATCTTCCATCGTTGCGTTCACCGACAACATTAGTTATCTGATCCTTGTTCGTAATTAACGGGATAGCCACTGCCACTTGTCGATGCCCACCCTTTTGTATCTCGTGCCCGTTACTACTACTTTCCTTGGAGACCTGCAGGCCACAACTCCATGTTAGTTAAGCACCTACAGGGTTTGACTCATCTCGCGTCGTTTTCATCTAATACACCATGGAATCTCATCGTGAAAGAGTTACTTGCGTTCTAACGCACTCAAGTGCACGAATAGATATTTCTGATCGTCCGTATAACAGGAGTTATACATTCCGTTACGCTAATGTCTAAATTAGATCGTGGCTGTTACTGACCTCATTATAAGTAACATCGAAACTGGTTGTATATTGAATACCTTTTGTTTACTTTTGTTGTACACAGCATGAATAGAATGCGTCGTCCTCCATTTCGATCAATAATGACATTCATAAGAAACTGTTCGTTAAGTTACGACGGATTTTTAAGCTCTTGATCGCCAAAGGACCGCAGTGGCTATTGATTTTACTCCACTTCTTGACATCATTCATTCGTGTACCACATCGTTTCTTCATCCTTTGCATGAACTGTCAAGAAGAGAGATCACGCTTTTGTGGATTAATGGAAGCAGTCATTCAGCGATGAAATCCTGGTTTGAAGCTACTATTTCTACTTATAACCTAGCCTAACGTATAAAAAGGTGCTTCAACTAATGATATGATTTTCTGGAGATCAGAGTGTTTCAGAGTTCGCCGCAGGTTCTCCTACCTTAGCAGCTACAGGGCATGTATGCGTTGTGATCACGTTGTCTTTTTGTTTGGTTGTTTGCCACAATGAAGTGAGGTTTTGGAAAGCATTTTTACCACTCTTCAGAGTATGTTAATGGAATCTTCCGTTTAGTGTGACTCCTACGCGCGGATGACATGGCTAAATTTGTCTTCTCTTCAGAGGACAAAATGATGCTCGTTTTCGTTGTTTCTCCTTTTTCATATGGTCCTTTGATTTGACGAACGCTCAGTTTTGTTCACTTTCTGAAGTTATTTATCCAGCAGCGTTACGATCTTCTCGTCGGTTTGCTTTGGAACTG